TATTTAATCTTATGTATTTGGTACAGGGTCTTTCTACACAGCTCTGACTCATAGTGGTCCTCCTGTTTCAGCCTGCCCAGTGCTGGATTACAGGCGTGTGCCACCACTCCTGGTCTCGGTGGTCAGCTTGGCATGCTCAGGGTGGGGCTGGTATGGCATGTGGTACCAGGGATGGAACGTGGATCTTTGTGCTTACCTAGGCAGGTGCTTAGACTAACACTGAGCTATCTCCACAGCCCTGCTCACATATTTTAATGCAAGACAGCTTCTTTAGAATTCTAGAAAATATAGGTGAATGCTGCATGTTCCTAAGCTTCATTAAAAAAAAAATTCTGTTGTGGCTTTATAAACAGAGATTCTGGGTCAGAAAAGATAACTCTTGGGGAGGCCATGCTAGGAGGGTCAGGAGGTCTCTAACTTCCCCAGTGCTGTCCTCACTGGCCCTGACCCCTGCACTTTCTCTGTAACCGTGGGTTGCACTGTCCCACTATGCTGTCAGCTTCATGGGCTGGGGGCCCCATTGAGGCCTGGTGTCCATGTGCCTTAGAAGCTCCTGTTGCTCAGGAGCCAGCTGTGCAAGTGAAGCTGCTTGCATATGGAGAAGGGGGTGGCTCAGATAACTCAGTGGGACTCATTAGCTGCCTATTGGAAACGATCAGAAATCTGGAGAAGGTTTTGTGTTAAATTTCATTTTCTTAAATGCGTAACCATGCTATGACAACCAAGGATGCTCCACAGTATGGTGGTCATTAGGGCATGACTGTTGGGGGTCACTTAGGATTCCGGGGGAGCAACAGGCTGACCCAGAGGGTGACTGCCACATTATGTACAGATGAACATACATTATTCATGTCCTTTTCCCAAATGACTTAACCTCAGGCATAGGGGCTGTGAGTGGGCACAGCTGTACCTGCAGCTGCCTGTCAGTATGGCGGCCTCCAGGGTGTAGGAATGACTTGGTGACTGGATCAGCCTTCCCTCTAGAATGCTACACCCATGGGGTCCCAGAGTCCCCAGTACCTACTTCTCAGGCTCTGTTCCTGGCTCCTGAAGGCTCAGGATGCCTTCAGGGCATTTCTAGTATGGCTTGGGGATCTGGGGATCGAACCACAGCAACCTGAGCCTGAATGCTCTGTTTAAGCAGTCACTTAAACAACTGTGCTAAGGGGCAAGCCCCGTGTTCCTGGCTCCTGAGCGTAGGATACTTGTGCTGGGTCCAGGGTGCCTCTTGGATGTAGCAAGGAACTCTTGCCTCCTGCACATCCCCATGTCCTTCTTTTTATCCCATTTGTGTTTGTAGTGTGTTGGGTGCAGGCATGGAAATGGCAGAAGAAAGGTTTATGGCCCATGCTGCATATTCCTCGACTCTGTCATCTCTGCCTTTATTTCTTTACTCTGTTCTGCCAAAGATCAATTACCTGGGTGTTTTGCTACACACCTATATTCCTGAGAGGCTGAGGGAGGATGGATTGTAAGCTCAAGCCTTGCCTGGGCAGTTTAACCACTTAGCAAGACCTTGTCTTAAAGTAAAAAAATAAAGGGGCTGGAGAGATGGCTCAGTGGTCTAAAGCACCTACTTAGAACAAGCTTAGCAAAGCACAGGGACCGCGGTTCAATCCCCCAGCACCACATGCCAGCCAGTCCCGCCCCCTGGTGGGCTGAGCAGGCCACACACACACCTCTCTCTCTCTCTCTCTCTCTCTCTCTCTCTCTCTCTCTCTCTAATAAATAAAAAATTAAAAAAAATAAAATTAAAAAAAATAAAAATAAAAAGGGCCAGGGATATAGCTCAATGCAAAGGCCCTGGGTTAGATCTCCAGTATCACAAAGAAATTGTCAATGTAACAGATTTTGTAAGTGTGGTCTGGCCAAGCTAAGCTTAAGGCACGTGAGAAATTGGAGGGAAACATTAGACAGCATATGATAAATTTAAGAAGTAAAATCGGTGTCTTTTTTTATGTATAGAGTAAAAGGAAGAGAGGGAAGAAAAAGAATCAGAATCTGTCCAGTGCCTCGGAGCCGAGCTCCTTGTACCCGTCTCTCTCCGACTGTTCAAGTCTGAATGTGTTCTCTATCCTCGACGCCATGGACACAGCTGTGCCCGACAACCAAGCCCAACAGGGTGACCTGGACAGCCAGCCTGGCCAACCTCTAGACTCAGAGATGGTGCTGGTGGAGGGAGGTGGCCCTTTTGACTCTGTTGAGCATGCTGAGGGTGGCAACAGCCCTGTGCAGGCTCAGAATGCCACTGCCACTGGCACAGCCCTGGGAGGCATGGCCCAGGAGCCCCCAAGAGGGCAGGATCACAATTCCTCCGTACCCTCTAAAGACCAAAGTCCCTCTAAGGAGCAGTCCAGCCCAACCGCCTCTCCCTGTGAAGACCACCTTGCAGCTGTGAATGTCACTCAGCAGTCCAAATCTAAAAGGGACAACTCAGAACCAAAGGACAAAGCACAGAAGGAAAGACAGCAGACAGGGTCACCAACATCCGGGGTGAGTGTTGGGGTTGCAACTGGCATGATTTCATCCCCGGGTTGCCTCACTATGTCTGCAGGTGGGACATCACCCAGCTTCCTGGGACTTTCTCCCTGCAATGTCCAGAAAAGGGGCCTCTGGCCTTTCCCCACTCGATTCATGGCCAGTGCTGAGCCATATGCCTCTATGTCCAAGTCGGTCCCTACTGTTCTCAATCACTGTGACTTGGGCTGGGGGCTTTTGTCTCTTCCAGGGAAAGGATGATACAGCTAAGCCAAATGACAGAGCCCACATAGCCACCAAGGATATAAAGGACAGGACTCAGCCAGCCAAACAGCCACTGGAGAGCTCCACTACACCCAAGGAATCCTGCCAGGTAGAGAGGCCTGCGTCTGTAGTCCCAGGTCTGCCCCATGTGCTCCTCTGCAGCCCTTTGCACACTCTCTGGGAATATTTGTGGGGTGCTAGGATACAGTGTGAGGGAACCAAGGTGCTTCCTACATGGAGCTCACTACATAGGTACCACAGAGGAAAGCAGGTGCTGCCCTGAGGGAAGGTCGGTCCCTCAGCCTGGTGGTCAGGCAAGTCCTGGGGAAATGCTGCGGAACAGAGACCAGTAGGAGCAAGGCATGAGTGTGGGCTACCTAAGAACCTTTCCCAGCAGAAGGATTGGTGTGTGCCCAGGCATTAGAGGGTGTGGCGGGCCCTTCCTCAGCACAGAAGGCAGCTGGTGCCCCCAAGTACATGAGGGGAGGAAAGGTGGATGGTGAGGTTGGAAGTTGGCGAAAGGGCTCCTGGGAGGACCTGGGAGTGGACCAGACTGGAGACCCTGGAAGGTTCAGAGCAGGGAAGGACAGAACTGCTCTGGCAGCTGTGTGACTCACAACAGCAGAGGACAGCTCAAGTCCTGGCCTTAACAGTTGGGCTGGGTTGCTCCTTCCAGAAAGCAGAAGCCAAGGGCAAGTCAGCTGTTGCTGGGGAAAAACCCAATAAAAATGGAAATGTGAAGCTAGAAGACAGGAAGAAGGCAGAAGACAGCAGCAGAACTCAATCAGCAGCTGGAAAGAAAGAGAAGGAGCAGAGGAACCAGAGTGCTGTGGCACAGGAGGTCACAGCAAGGTAGGAGCGGGAGGCCTGAGCTATTGCCCTGGGCCTGTCTCTGTAAAGTTCATCTTTGGGGGAATTGCTCACAAGCAGGCTATCTGTGGGGAATGGCCTTTTAGAAGGCAGGAGAGCCCAGAATGTAGCGTGCCCCAGAGTCCTTCCTGGACTGCCCAGGCTCTCCATCCCTTCATGATGGAGCAGAGATGGGAGAGGAGGTCGCTGATCAAGCGTAGCCTAGCTGTGGCCCTGGACCCCATCGCGTTCTCGCTTGCTGTGCTGGTGCGCAGTAGAGAAGCATGGATGGAGCCTGTGTGATTGTGTGTGTGCTCGTGCGTGTGCACAAGCATGCCTGCACTTGAACCAGTACACACAGGAGGGCAGACATGTGGGCTGTAGCACCTGCCTTCTTTCCCCAGCACACTGAATCCCGGTGAAGGACTTACCGTGTACTTCCATGCCATCGTCTCCAACGACTTTGCATTTGACCCCAGCTGCCACCAAATATTTGTACGCGGCAGCATAGAACGTGAGAAGTCTGAGTGGACAAACCTTTGTGAGATGTACTACACCAAGTGAGTACACTGAGGGCTGGCTCAGGTGGGTGTAAGTGATGACCGTCACCAAGGACATGCATGACATTCTTTTTTTTTGTTTTTGGTACTGTGGATCGAACTCAGGACCTTGCATTTGCCAGGCAGGTGCTTATGCCGCTGTGCTATATCTCTGGCCCCAGTGGATGACATTCTTAAGCTTCCAGGAAATGAGTATTTCAAACAAATCTTCCTTCAAGTGCCTTTCTTTGTCACACTGACTCTTCCTCTAGTTCTGGCTGGTCACTGGCCTACTCTAGATATGTGCTGTGGGTTGGCATCAGCGGGTCTGGGCTCGTCCCCCATCGTGGATAGAAAAGAGATGCCATTCCCACATGCATCGTTTTGTTGGGTTGTTGTTTGCAGTAGGGTCTCATATTCAGGCTGGGCTTGCCCTTGTGTCAATCCTCCTGCCTCAGCTTCCCAAGCGCTAGGATTTCAGGCATGTGCCACCATGCCCGATGTGACTTTTGGATAACTGCCCAGTGTCCCATTGATCCACAGGAACTTACAGGAGAATGGGTGTCTCATCGAGGGCAGCATGGCCATTCTTAAGCAGGGCATAAACCATTCCTTCCCATACAAGTATGTCATTGTCAAAGCACCAGACTCTATGGAGTTTGAATTCATCTATAAGAAGCAGAAGAAAGGTGAATTTGTCAACCGCTGTCTGTACATACCAGCCCACCTGGTGGCTGAGGGAGGTAAGTCTGCTACCTCCTGACCATACTCCTGGTCCTCTTCACTCTGCCTTGGCCTCACCTGCCCCTGTCTCAGTGCTTCATAAAACAGTCTTCAGAGGCATGTCTTTGACTGTGTAGAGGGCCCTGGCCCCTGCTCTCAGCTCGATTTGACTTGACACAGGACCTTTGCACTAAGCTACACTTTCATCCCTCTTTTAAAAAGTTATTTTGGGGGTAGGATCTTACTAAGTTGCCTGAGCTGGACTCGAACTTGCAATCTAGCCAGTCCTCAGAATAGCCGCGAGTATAATGCCCACCCCACAGCACACACCTGCCCATGGCTCTGTGCTGCGACGGAAGCTAGACTGTCATGGGGGAAGTGTCACAGTGCCCGGTACACACGGAGGAAGTAGCGCCTGGAGCAGGTCAGTCATTATCAGAATGACAGTCTGTGCTGGGGCGCCGTGGGGGTGTTGTGATGCACACTGTGTTGCCTGCACATGGCCACATTTTGTGGGGCATGTGTACCAAGTTTGTGGAGTTGTGTGTCTGGGATGTCTCTGCACACAGGAGCTTGCCAGAGGTGACTGGCGGAGGGCAGTGTGGTGCTTCAGTTTACCAGTCCTCTGGGTTTCCTTCCTTTCTTCCCTCTTCTGGCCTCTCCCCACTGTCACTGCCACTGAGGAAGGGCTTGAGTTCATGGGCTTTCGTGATCTAAGTGTGATGCTGTCCCTGCTGTCATCCTAGAATGGCATCAGTATGATGACATCATCTGCATGAGGCCTGGGGTGTGGCAGAAAACCAGAGATTTCTTCACTGACGGGATGAGGAAGAGCCTGGTGGCCGGGAAGCATATAGCGGCTGCAGTCATGCTGGACCGCGTCTTCAGCATCCTGCAGACCTGGAACCTCATCAACCTGAAGAACTTTATCATACAGTTCCAGCAGTTTTACTATGTCACCAGAGAGCCTGTCGTTTACGAGGGGAAGAAAGAGATATGGAGTGATCTGCAGTACACGGAGAAGGAGGTAGAGCTTCCTTGTCGTCCATAGCAGGCTTGCCGTGGGCAGTGTCCGTGCCCCCAGCACCCCCACCTGCTAGAGGCCAGGTGCATCCTTGACCGAGTGGGTGGACACAGATGGGGGCTGGAAAACCGTTCTGTCCCTTTTCCCCTTATGTCACCTCATAGGACTTCTCTCCCTCCTCCATTCTCTTCTTGTTCCTGCCCAGTTTGGTGGCCAGTTCTTACCTGGTCTGGGACAGAGAGTGAGCCCAGGTGACCTAGAGCTGTCCCTGTGTTTGGATCCTTGCAAGCATTCGAGTCTGGGCTCCGAGGGCTCAGGTTGAGCACTGCCAGGCTGGCTTCTTGGGGTGGTGGGAGTGGGCTGGGCTGGGCTGGGCTGGGGACTCCCCTAAGTTCTCTGTACCTACAGCACCTCCACCCCCTACCCACCTGTTGTCCCATGTCTGGGGCAGGCACTGTGTGGCTCATGTGAGATCTTTGTCTCTTGGGCTCAGGTGAAGGAGCAACTGTGGGAGTATTTGAAGAAACTGATGGCCCCGTTTCTGGAAGCCAACAGTGGGGACGCCCTGCCTAAAGACCTGCCGGTGAAGAGCAAACTGCAGATAGGCCTGATTGTCCTTCTTATAGTGAACAAAATTCACATTTCCCTGTCGAAATCTGACTGCTCCTCCCTGAGCTGCCTCCTAGTCCCCAGCGCCAGTTCACCAGATGCCCTGCGCAGAGATCTAGAGCTCTTTCTCAGCATAGATGAGAGGTACTTTTGTCTGTTGTCAGGGGGGTTATAGATACTTGCTTTTGTGATTGTCTGACTACCAAGACAAGCCCTTGTCATGGAATGGCTCAGGGACATGGAGAAGAAAGGAAAGCTGCCCGTCATTCTGCCACTCACCCTTGTCATCTCAGTGTGTCCTGACATGTGCACAATAATTCATTCTACTATGTTCTATGTTCTCTTTTCTCTTTTTTCCCCTTTGGTGGTACTGGGGTTCAAATCTAGGGCCGCATGCATCTAGGCAAGTGCTGTGCTGTAGAGACACAGCCTAGCCTCTTTTCTGAATATGCTGCATTTTGTTTGCTAGTCCCAGGTCTCGCCACACAGCTCAGACTCGTAATGATCCTCCTGTCTCAGCCTCCCCAGCACTGGGATTACAGGCATGCACCACTATGCTAAGTTTTGGGGCCAACATGACACATGGCGCTGGGGATTAAACCCTGGTCCTTGCATTTGACAGGCAGGCGTTTAGATCGCTGAGCTATCTCCTCAGCTTTTTTTCTTTTTCTTTTCTTTTTTAACAAAATGTATTTAGTACAGGGTCTCACTACACAGATCAGATTCCCAAGTGCTGGGATTACAGGTATGCTCTACCATGTCCAGACTCAGTCACCGGCTCAGCGTGCCCTGGGGGCGGGGCCGGCAGGGCACGACAGAGATCAAACTCTGGTCTCTTGTGTCTGTCTAAGCAGACACTTTAATCCTCTGAGCTATCTGGCCAGCCCTGTCTCCTCAGATTTTCGCAGCTTCGTGAAGCCAGGTCCAGGACATGCCCCAGGAGGATCAGTTGAGCCCGGGAGTTTGAGGCCAGCCTGAGCAATGTATTGAAAACTCTTCTACCAAAACACATAAATAAACTAAAAAAATTGGCCGAAAGGGTTCTGCTACGTCCTGCTTTGTGTCTGTGCATCTTGGTGCTCTGGCTCCCTGCTGGCCTCGAGGCACTGACTTGGGGCCTCTGGGGGAGCCAAGATGGCACCCCCTTGCTCTGCCTGTGATGTAAGGGTCAGGCGGCGCGAGGTCACTGCTGGGCCTTGGAGGGCTTGGTGACAAGGCTCTGGCCTTTTGCTTGGTAGGGGGGACCAGGACCAGGGCTTTTCACAGTGTTGCCTGAGGCTGTGAACTTGCTAGTGCACCCAGGAAGCCTTCCCTAAGCAGCTCTTCTGGGGCATCTGGCTGCTGCTTCATGCGTCCCCAGCCCCAGGGAATCGCTCTACATTTTGTAAAAGAGGAGAAACCATGGTGAGAAGGCATACAGGATTGGTGTGGGTGTTTGAATGGTCTAAGACACTTTGATACTATGTGAGTAGAACCTGGCTGGGCCTGTACACTGCTCAGAGCCTCGCTCCTTGCGTTTATGCAGTTGCTTCTTTTGTATTTAGATCCACTATTGCCAGACAATGTGGGTTCGAACCCCTGCTCTGCTTCTGTCTATTCCAAGGGCCCTGCATGGATCCTTAGCCAGGATCTCCACACCTTGGTCCCTCTGCTACTCAGTATGGTAGAAATGACTGCTATGGAGTCTGTTGTAAGGATTTAGCAAGCACCAGCACTACGGTGGGGCCCAGCACCCTGTGTCTCCCTGTACCCTGTGTCTCCCTGCACCCTGTGTCTCCCTG